CTTCGATGAATTATAAATCGTCTAAAGCTCTTTAAAGATAGTATAGTAATTCAATTCTTTTGCGCTATAGTAACTTTAAAAGAATACGTCAGTTTCATTATTTGTCTATTAATTTACAGTTATAATTTTAAAAATTTTAATTTGGAAAAGTACCGACTTTTCAAATCTTATCTTTAAAATTGTATTCTTTTGGGATGAAAGTTACTTATCAAGGATGTAGAAATAGATAATGACAAAGAGGACGAGGGGAATAGTTTGCTCGGTTATCTTCAATCAAATAGGAAAACACTTCCCTAATACGCGTACTTTATACCGACATGTATGAGATTGCGGAAATCTAAGCGTATCATTGTGAGCATCACGGATAAATTAAGAAGAAACGAATGGTCTCACAGGCATAGTTTCGATGACGTCATGAGCCCAGCAGGGATCAATCGGAGAGTCAAGTCGTGATAATTGCGACAATCGCGAGTATGCTTCCCAAAGAGACACTCAATTCATTCTCCTTCTCGCAACGTTTCTCTTTCTGTCTTTTCCATCGCTTTCTTTCGTTCTTCGTTTTATGAGTTACACGTATTCCGTAAATATTATTGCAATGATCAATTATTACAATCACAATGATCCAAATAAGAACTTCATAGAATACTTAATAGGCGTATTTTTCTAAAAAAGATCATTAATTTAATTGTAAGACAAAACAGACATTTTATTTTTGTAATGATACCATTAAAATATACAATTTGTGAACAATTGTAAAATCTATAAAAGAAATGATTAAATTAAAACAAGAGTATGCGTATTTATAAAAACGTTATTAGATAATTATAATTAATTGAGAGATATGTATATAAATTACGTAATATATATATATATATATATATATATGTAGAAGAAATCATATGCTGACTGTATCTATATATATTATAGATAATGATAAGAGATAATGCATACTCCATATGTTCGATGTCGACTAATTCAGGAATAAAAATCAGACTCAAGAATTATAATTAAGAATAATCCAGACTAACTGTCGAAAATGGACGATCGAGTTTAATTATAATTAATAAAGATTTTTTACCAGCCACGATAATATAATACCATTAGAGTTACGGAACAAGCATATAAAACGAGATGCTAAAGAAATGGAAAAGTAATGGGTTTTTCCGAGCACTATCAAACTTGATTGTTATGCGATTGACTCCACAAAGTTATTAAAAAACAGGAATATATCGAATATCGTTAATATTATTGCAACGTTAATATAAAATCTTAATTTAATTTACATTTAAGATCATCTTAAGTATTGTCTTAAATATAATTTTAAGATATTAAGATAAACTAATCATAATTTTTATAATTGCATCTTTTTGTTTAGATTCCGATGGAGAACCAGGGTTATGAGGAGGATCAGTCGCGCGCAGCACAAGAGCAGTCCACCCTTGAGTCTCGCCGCTGCGATCAGCATCTTTGCACGGATACAATCGATGTAATCGATAATCCCGTTGTCGCGAGGGCCACGTCGCATCCCGAAGGCAACGTGTACGAGGACATCGCGATCGGTGCAGGAACCAACACTTGCGAACTTTCCAAGCGGACGTCTTACCCCGACGAGTCTCGAAATTTGTCCGAGACTGGAGGTCTCTTCGCCAGGCAGGCTTGGATTAACAGGCCGTCATCCCCCACGATCGACAGACCCTTTCAACAAAATTCGACATTATCCTCCAGAATCAATACGAATCACGATAGCACAACCATTTTATCCAGGACGAGTGAAGATGATGTTGAGAAAGTCTTTGAAAAATCTCGCGAACTCCCAGTACCTTCCCTCTCCGAGGACGTTTCAGAGAATGTATCCTTGTCTCTTCAGACAAACGAAGACTCGTTGCGAGATGCCTCGGTGACGCAGTTCGATCGCCGACCGAATCGCAGACGCAGGAAGAAGGATTGCAAACATTGCAGAAGCAAATTAGCTGATGCGAGCTCCTGCGAGAAATTGGACGAGCTGATCGATGGCAAGGATACGATTCTGAAAGAGAACGGAGACAATCATCGGAATAGGCATCCAGACGTGTCCACTCTCCTGTTCCGAGAGTCACATCTGAGGCCGCAGAACATAAAAGTTTATCCGATTGTGAATAGGACGAGTCTTCGGGATATCGGCGCCAAGAGAAGTTCCTCGGCCGCATTTCCCGCGTCTGAGTATGGAGTGCATAGGACGGAGAATGCGGCCAGGTTCCTGCTGAATATGGAGAACGATAAAATGTTGGGCCAAGTTGTGGAGGGTGCCCAGAACAAGATACTGGGAGTGTCGGGGAATGGGACTGATATGAGGATTAACTCAATATATTCGCAGGATCGTTGGTACAACAAGGAGTCGCAGATATTCTATACCGACGTCAAGGATCAGAATCCCTTTCAGGTAAGTATTGACTTGTGTCTTGTTTCCATTTCTTTCTTTCTTTTTTAAGTATTATTACAAAATTTATAGATCAATGTTTTTTTTATGACTTCTCGATAAGTTTCTTCGGACAATATTCTTTAAATTGAAGCTAAGAAAAGTAAGTAAATTAATTATTTAGTATTTAATTGATCTTTTCGGGAAGGTATCAATTTTTATTCTTTGCGTTCTCCACAGAAAAGAGAGATGATAATAAATATAGTAGATAGAACCATTTTGCACATCCTAAGCATCATAATGATAATTTGTATTTTTTAATTGACACCTTTTTGGATATGATTATCCTTCGCAGTTTATATTTTTGACGCGATTAATATTAGATTAAAAAGACTTTTGATGAAAAATAATGAAGTTGCAGAACAACAGAAATTCGAATAATGAAGAGAAAAAAAAAGGTGATTTATCCCCTATATTTCAAATATAATAGAAAAATTTATCAAAATATTGAAAGATCTTAATGTTAGACTAATTTTTTAGTATGAACAAGCTGGGAAGAGTGATTAAGGCGTAGAAGAACGTCCTCCTCATCAATATAAAAGTTGTACATAAAATCAATATCACAAAAGTTGTCTATTAAATTTCCTGTAAAAAATGTGAAAATATAAATCGGATAAACTAAAAGAAAGTTAAAAATGAGGATTATGGAACATAGAAATCAAATTAACTGCAATACTAATAATGAATCTGTTATTACTAAGTACAGATTGTGTTTTAAATGACTTTGATTGCCAAAACATTGAGGTTATTGAGATTGTAGATAGAGAAAAATATTTAGGAAAAAAAATGATTTCGGAGATGTTACATACATATAAGATTACAGACAAATTCACACAATTTGCGATCTGATACGGAGTTCTTGCATCATTATGTGTTTGTTCTTGATAGCCTTTAAATTTGTAAGAATTAAAAATAACATATTTTATATATTACAATACTTTTTAAGTTGTCAACGAATTCCTTTTTTGAAGAATATATATCAATTTTATTATCGAATTGTGTTCTCTCACCGGGTATAATGCCACTGACATACCTTTATTATTTATTTGTTCTTCACTTGTTCTTCATTATTTATTTGTCATCGCGTATAACGTTACTTTGACTCATACATACCTATTATTGATACGTTCAATCATTAATGTTTTACATCTTGACGAAGATAGATCGTTTGACGATTATTATCCAAAATTTCATTTTTACTTCATAGTGGCATTACTATTTTGCACTCTTGTTGGTGAGTTGAATGTAAATAATTAGTTTCTTACTTAATCCTTTGGCGGAATCTGCCTTACTAACTTATTAATAAGAGAACTTATAAAATAATCATACAGCTATTAGGAAGGAAGATTTATAATAGTTAAAGTTGTAATCATCTTGTTCATTAGGTGTGCATTGCTCTTCTATTCTCCGTATAATATGTAAACCCGCTGAGGATAGCCTGCAGCATGGTCGAAACGTTCGAATTTGTAGACTGTGAGAAAAGAAAAGTAAGAATAAATAAATATACAAAGAAATAAATATATGTAAAATATAGTTTTTTATATGCTAATATCATATATCTGCGTTTCAATTGTCTTTGTTACACTATTGTATTATTTAAAATATTGAAAAACTACATATTATTACTATTTTAAATTTGTTATTTTTAAATCTTATTCGTGGAATGAGATATTATAATTTATATATTTGTTCTTAAATTTTTACTATATATAC